TTCAGTTCTGTAGAGCGTAAAAATGCCAAGGATTGGTGTTGAAGGGAGAGTAATGCACAGAATTATTGGGTGGATTTACAAGAAACTTTGCATCCAGTTAGCAAAGGTATGACACGAATCAACACTCGCTTCTATGCTTTTGCTGCTTTCAGCCAATTGCAGGCATATTCAACTCCAATTGATCTGAGTTCAAATCAGCATTTTTCTGTAGAAATGGAGTTTCGCTCAAATGAAGATGATTTTGTAGAGCAACCTGATGGTTTTTTAATCCTGTAAAGAGGATCAAGTAAATGTAGTCTTCTAAGATAAGAAGACTTCATGTATGGCCTTAAAACAAGCGTCCAAGAGGCTCTTGGTAATTGAAAGAAATGGACAAATCATCGTCATCTGTCCCAAAAAACTTGGGCATTGTTAGCACGAAAAGTCAAAGATGAAGCTACCCTTGTATGTAAGAAATGGACAACGCATGATGTGAGTTCTCCTCCTCTAGGTTTTAGTTGAGTTCTCACAATTTTATGTAGTGATGATCATGCTTTGTGACAAGGTTAGCAAACGTTGAATCCTCGAGTTCAAAAGTTCCAAGAATTGAAATGGAGAAAGTCTTTGAGATCGACTGATCTTGGAATCAGAAATAACTTTCATTGGGATTGAGAGGTGCCTGCAAACTAATGACTTTGGGTTTTTTTATATTAATAGTCAAAAAGCAGAAAGAAAATACATTATCTGAATATTGTTATACAGGGCATTTAAAAATTGCAAAGATGCAAACCTGTAAGGCACTCCACGATTTCTACTGGGCCTTATCAAAGCTAAGCAAGGATGAAAATTGCTGAAAGAAGAGTAAGCCAGCAGAGCCTTCTAGTAAGAAAATAATTAATTTTGTGTAGTCTTACTAGGATACCTAATACAGCTAGCAGGATCTCTTGCCACATTCCTGCAATTTTGTCTTATAGAGTGTCTTTGCTCCTAGTTCATGCATATCACCTAGGGAAACCCACGTATACAGCTGCCAAGAAGGGTTTGGTCAAAGGTATATAAAATTAGTAGAACCAGGCACCATTTGGGATTGTTCTCTCGCAAGCAGATTGCAGGGAGAGAATTGAAACTGGTTGGTTACCTGTGATCCTCGCATTTGGAAAACCCGAGTGGCTGTATTGAGACTTTCAGCGGAAGCACTTCTGGAAAATACTTAATATTTTCGATTTGGGCACCAAGTAATTTTGTCAGTTGGAAGCTCAAAAAAACAAAGAAACTACAGCTCAATTCAAACTCAGCAGTGAACGCAGAATATGACAATGTTGAACTGCCTTGCCTCTCGCTTGCCTAGAAATACCATGGTCGTTAATTCTGCGCTAAAGGAAGATACCTCATAAGAGATTCTGCGTAGTGTGACATGGCGACATGATCACTAAACGAGATACCGATCATGACTGTGATAAAATTAATTTCAGCGCAAAGTTTAAACAAGTCTTGGCCACAAAAAATCGCAGCTGTTTCAATTGGTCCT